CAGCCGCGGCGCATCCTCGCCCGGCTGCGCCCGGCGAGCCGCGGTCCAGGAGAGGCATCCGACCGAAACGGCGTCCGGAGGGCTGCGTCGGTGTCCGGGCTGGAAATAAAGCGGTTTTTAAGCAACCCCCCTTGAACTTTCGCCGACATTTAATGACTTGGGAGGCAGATAAGATGGGGAATAAAATATTCCTAGTCTTAATAAAGACGGGGACCCGGAATATTTGAAAGACGGCAAACTGTAGAGCTCGCAGAAAGGGTGCAGAAAACAGCCATCTTGAATATTTTAATCTCTGGCAAGTGTTTCTTTGGAACAAAATGGATGTTGGAGACATTTAATGACTTGGGAGGCAGATAAGATGGGGAATAAAATATTCCTAGTCTTAATAAAGACGGGGACCCGGAATATTTGAAAGACGGCAAACTGTAGAGCTCGCAGAAAGGGTGCAGAAAACAGCCATCTTGAATATTTTAATCTCTGGCAAGTGTTTCTTTGGAACAAAATGGATGTTGGAGGGAAACAGCATAGTTAACATTACTGTAGCCTTCCATTTCTAACACCATCCCTCTCGCAGAATTCAGCTGGCGCGAAGCAATGAAACTGGAAGGAACGCCGCAGCCTTTCATCTACGTACAATGGCAATAAATAATCATAATCTGAATACTGTGGTCTGGAAATTTAGTACCTCTCTAAGTGATGGTGCTTTTTTTACCCACGATTTATATTGATTTGTTTGCATCGATGTAAGTCACGTGTAATGCTGCAAAAACACTTTTAGAGCTCATGCAACATAAACAAACAATTGGTCTGTATTCACCCAGAACATATTTGTAAAGATTTTTGGTTTTTAATGATACTGTACGTTGTTACTGTCACCGAAGTCAAAAGGAGGTGTTCCTACCGATTGCCCTGGAAATTGGATCAGGCCCTGGGTTCAGAGTTTGTTGTGTATTCATGATATGAACCAATTATTCTAAGTATTCATTGTTTGGCCATAAAAATCACTCTAGGCTGAAATTAGGCTTAGAAAGTCCCCAGGATTTTTTCCACTTTTACTAAAATGGATTAACAGCTGTCTTTATTTTTTCTTTCCTTCCCCCCCCCCCCCCCCCCCCCCCACGGGGGAAAAAAAAACAACAAAATGATTTCAGATGCTTTTTGTTTTCATGTAACTGCAAAATAGCTTTCCCTTTTTTACTAAGAATTGTAAGACTCTTAATGCTGGTTAGGCCTTCCCAAATTTTAAAAATAAATAATTTTTTTAAAAAAAGGAACAACTGACTGAAGGGGGTGTGTGGTGAGAGCAGAGACAATAAGTCAGTGGTTCAGCTACACAGGCTCAGAAAGGCTCCTTCCCTGGGATTATTTATTTATTTATTTATGTCCTCGTTGCTGTTTGCTTACTTTGGACATACTCCTTTGCAGATAAGCTCAGCAGAAACAACGCGCTTAAAAAAGCCAAAGACAGCTAATAAAAATAATGCAGGGAGGGCTGGAAAGCATTGTCTGAAGATTAAAGAATAGGATTGCAAGGCAGAACTGCTTGATTTTATTCTCTCACTGATTTCTTTAATGTCAATTTGGGCAGCATTTCTAATCCTAATTGCTAAGGATAAGGTTCCTATTGAGAACTGTATTGTTCTTATTAAAGTTTCTAATTTTTCAAGGAAATTTTGAGGTGCTGCATATGCAGTTCCTGATTATTTCAGTACCTTGCTACAGCTTTACTTCCTGTATCTGAACATTTTTGCTTTAATTTCTCAGTGCCATACTTTCCCCTGTGGATTGTTACATTAAAATATATTTAGCATCTGTTTCATAGGCATCCTGATGTTTGTACAGCATTTCTTGAGACTATTTGGATCAAAAGGCACTATGAAGTCAAGTAGCTTCCTAGACATTTTTTACAATTGGAGCACGTAGGAATCTCAAAAGAATAGTATTTGTGAAAAGCAGAGTGAGCAAAATTACTAAAATGCAAATGACAAGCTCCATCAGAGGCTAAAATTACAAACTCGTGTTTGTGAGGAAAAAAGTGCATAGCCTAGAAACAATAACCTAGGAAAGCAGGCGCTGGCTTCTTAATGGGCAGGTCTTATTCTAAAAATGAAAGCAACACTCAGCTCAAATTGTTAGTGTTATCTAAGAAACAGGAAGATTTCAACTAGATGTAACGCTACTGGGAATTTGGGGACTGCTGTAGGGCCCAGAGAGGAAAGCCGTATCAAATTTGTTGAAAGCTTAAGGAAATGCATTTAAATGTCATGAAACTCCAATTTATGTGGGAAAGGTATGTAGGGTTCCAGAGAGGAAACGGGGCGCAAAGAAGGACTAAGGAGATATACCTCTGTATTTTGTCCCTCAAATGTGAAGGACAAAGAGATTCTGTAGAAATAAATAGAAGAAATAAATGAATTTAACTTACCTGCTTGCCAAAGCACATAAGTTAAAAAATGTCTTTTTAATGATGAAATATATATTTTGCCTGAAAGAAATGTATTCACAGGAAAAGAGAAACAACAGTATCATATTTTTCCTGTAAAGAATAAAGCTTTTATTCATAAAGTTCTTTTGCCCTAATATACCTAAAGCATTGTTACATGAGATGGGCTCAGACTTTTTTTCTGTTAAGTAGTATATTCCTTTATCATCATCATAGCTTTGGTGACAAAACCGGAGAGGTAGATTGCACCTTAATAGGTAAACAGGCAGGGAAAGACGTGGGAATACTTCATCCACACCTTCCAGAAGGGCCAGGAATATCTGGCAACTTCCAAATAATTGAGGCCAAGGGGACTGGTGGGTCTGGATGGACAGGATATTCTGGTTATTTATTAGAGTAGTGCATATATTGGTAAGGAATAATTGGTTTAACAAGCTGAGTGCTGTTTGTAAATATATCTGTTTAAAAATCAGTGCCGTTAAATCCGTCATACTGTTTAAAAGGTGATTGTAAAGTGGTGCAGTAAAATGGCTGAAAAACTGGAGTGATCAGTTTTGGTCTCCTTTTCTTTTTACAGATTCCCTGCAAACATTTCTGGTTTTCTCAGATGGATGTGTTGTTCAGATCACTTCTCTAAATATTTCTTCTTCTATAGCTTGATTGAGAATAGGCAGTGACAAGTAGCTGCTATTCAAAATTCAGATCTTCAGTTTTATTTGAGGACATAGTTTATCTGACATACTGGTTTTTTTCTTGGGTGATACAAATATTCTGAAACTCAAAAATCAGTTTTGCAGATACTCTCCGTAATTTGCTTAGCCTCAGCAGAGTGAAAGTGAATCAGGAAAGGTCTGTGCCATTACACACACTGTGCCTGGTAGTGTTGGGCCTCACAGGGTTGCTGGCCCTGAGGTACTTCCAGTATAAATGAGAGATAAAACTCGTAATTAATGATGTGCGAAGTTCTGAGTTTAGACAAATATTTGCAAAAATGTTTTATTCATTTGCTTTTAGTATTTAGTAACAGAATCTGGGTTTGACTGGGTCTAAGTTAAAATGAAAAAAAAAAAAGTACTTTTCCTCTTTCGTTTTCATTTGGGCAGTGCAGGTCTCGTGGAGAAGAAGGTGGAGCTTCCCCAGAGCTGTCAGGCGCAGGAGCAGCGGTAACTGTCCTTGACTTCTCTAGTATGAATAGTTTGCTCCCAGCTTGTAACTTGTTCCGTTATATCATGTTGTTCAGAGCTTAAAAAACAAGGATCTTCTGTATGCCTAACCTAAGTATTTCCTTTTTTCAGTCCTAAGATCCAGCGCTTGCTTTTACTGCTGTCACACGCTTTTAAAATCACAGATATGCTGGCTGGAAAGGTAATAATTAGGAGTTTACTGTGGAAAGAAGATAAGATTAGCTGCAGTAAAGATTTATTATTAGAAAATGAATAGCCTCATTTTCAAGATTTAAGAGACTTGTACAAATTACCTGCTGGATGTTTTTTTCTAGTTTCCAGTTCACATTAGTGCCGAAAGAACCATTTGGGGCCTACTACCCAGCTTTTGGAAAGTTTTCTTGTAGTGGAAAAAGTTGTAAGGGATCTGGGAATGAGGACTCATCTGGCTAGTAGATGTTCATAAAAATCTTAATGACTTCAGCAGTCCGAGATGAGGCTGTTGGGGCTGGGCTTGGACTGACTTACTGGAGGATCCCCTCCCTACACGTGGGGTGGTGATAAGTGGAGGGGAAGGGTTGGAAGCAGGCTTTGAAATCTTTGAGTATATCTGTGGCTGGGTTGACACTGTCTCTTTTAAAAATGACTCGGTATTATAAATTGCATGGAAAAAAAAAAAGAGTAGTTCTAATGCACGGGACAGTTTGGGAGCTTGAATCGTGCATAAAACATTTTGGGTTTTCCTACAAAGGCACTTCACAATATTATACATGCCATTTTCATGCTATAGTTTACAGCTTTATGTAAAGAGCATATTCCTCTGAACCGAAAGTGTTTTCAATTTAGTTTGTGTTGCTTTGGAGGGCTTTTTAAGCTAAAATCACAATGTACTTGACTTAAAATGGTGACATTGCTATATATGGAAAAGCTGCTTTACAGCATTTCTAGAGGCTTTTACATACTTCAGTAATTTTACTGTTACTCAGACATCTGTGTGCTTTTAACTCAAAGGCGATGCCGTTGATCTCAGGGGTAACTTGACTTTCGTGGTAATATGCAAGGGAGAAATATAATTTATGGTTGGTTTGACAGTTGGCTTGAAAAGTGGAATGATACGAAAATAATATTAATTCATTTAAAAACAAAAAAACCTTCATAATCAGTTCTAGTCTGGTCGATGTAATATACTGAGCACATGATACTGCAGCTGGGCCAGTGGGTGCTATTGGCAATTGTGGAGTATGTTGCCCTCTGAAATCCGTGCTGATTTTCACTGAACATAATTCAATCTGTTTCTCTGTAAGAAAATTTAGGGGATGTTGTCTTAGTCTCATGGGGCTGAACGGGCTGGCCCTGAAGGTGAGGAGTACTGTGATGCTCCCGCTACAAAGCGAAGGTATATTTTAGGAAAACTCAGCAGATCGTCATTCTCTCCAGGAAAAAATCTTTTTATCACTCAGCCATAAGGCTACGGTACGCAACAGCAGCCTGCTGCTCTGCCAGCTTTGGAGCATTCCTCATAGCACCAGGAGGAGATCTGCGGACATACTGCAATCCCAATATTGAGGCTGAGTACCAGCGCGAGGCTATGAAGCTGTGCATGTCCTGCGAAGACCTGCAAGGTGAGCTGCTGCAGCACGAAGTGATGCTACAGCATTGATGAGACCACCAAAGCAGGACGTTCTTTGTTACCCTTACCTTTTGGGAGGTACAGGGCCGATGAACATGCCACCAAATAAGACTTTTTTCTTTAAATGTTGTCAGTTATGCGTTGAATCCTATTACTGCTCTCTCTCTGACTGCTGGGATTCCTCTTGAAAGATGAGCAGGCTTTGGCCATGCTATTACTAACCTGCAGAGGAACAATAGATTTTTGCAATGATACAGCAGTGCTTAGACATCCGTAAGGGATTACTTCTGGGGTTTGGTACTTTGGATACTCTGCTGATTTAGACAGTCATTCAAAGTGTTCTCCTCAGCCTTTTTGGAGTACGGACCTAGGTGTTGTCTTAGTTTGGAAAGATCTGCCAGTGTCTTTGAAGGCATATACAGCGATACGACGGGGTAAGTATAGGTGAGCACACAGCAGCTGGGGCTGCGGAGGCTGCTGTGGCTCTCCTGGGGACCCAGAGCATCTGCCAAAGCTCCGGCCCCACCAGCCCCAGACGGTCACAGCTCTCAGAGGCAAAACCTGTCCAGCCCCGAGCCCTCAGTGCCCTGGGTTGAGGAGTCCAAAGAAGAAAGAAATCCGTTTGCTTTTGAGGCACTGGCTCAGTCAGCGTCACGTTCAGGCTGTTCACCCATGGGCATATGAAAGCAAAACCCCCTCTCCTCTCTGTGATCTTGTCTCCTTGCTCCGCTGCGTGTTTGGAGCAGTTTTTGTGGTGTGGGTCAGATGCTGCAGGCATCCATCCATCCATCCATCCATCCATCCATCCATCCATCCATCCATCCCTTCCCGTTGCCATCCATCCATCCATCCATCCATTCCATCCCTTCCGTTGCCCCCGCGGCTGGCTGCGCTGCTGGCTTAGCTCCTCTGGAGCAGCAGTTCCTGTCGGGCAGCGACACGAGCGCTGTCTGCACAAGATGAATTTTCTCACTCGCTTTCTCTCTCCTTCTCTCTTCGTTTCCCCTTGGTCTCTCTGCTGGCTTTTTTGCTCCTGAGACCCCTCACTCCCTTTGCTCACCCTCCCTCCCCCCCCCCCCCCAATCTCTCTCTCCCCCCCTTTCCTTTCTTTCTTTCATTTTTCTCGTTTCTTGTATTCTCCCTTCACTTATTTTTCTCTCTATTATCTTTCCTGTCCTCCTCTGCATTCTTTCAATCCCAGCAGGGCTCGCGCATACAAATTGACCCCCTCCCAGCCAGTAATGTGATCGAAGCTCTTTGTGGCTCCTACTATCTCTATGGTAACTATCTCGAGAGTGGTGGTAGACCCAATGCCCCGGCCCACGTACTGTTGTTCTTGCCAGCGTTACGTGCTGACCACATGGGCCTGACTGCTCATTTACAACTACTTCTTATTTTAAAAAAATATTGATACCTTAAAGTGCTTAAATGGGCAAAACGGATCGCATGCTTGAGCACAAACAGTTGTTGGGTTCTTAGGGGTTTGGAAAATGGTTTCTGTGTTCAGAGCTGCTTTGCTTGGCAGATCCCTTGTTGTTTTCTAACCATTGTGGAGTGGCATGTTGGCTGTTTCATGGAAACTCTGGAAACAAGAGTTACGCTGCAAAAATGAGTATCCGCATTGCAAGGTAGCCAGTGGTAGCACAGTGGTGGTGGTGGTGGTTGTAACCACAAGCACAGACTGCGAAAGCATGTAAGAGGGGTTTGCATGTTGTAAATGCTGTGAACTCCTGCTTTTCCCCGTGCTAGCCAGCCTACTGCATATTGCCAGGTGGCTGCTGTAATGCAGGTATTAAAAATGAAATTGTAGGCAAGCGTTGGGTTGATAATATATCTGCTTGTCCACAATCTGGGATTTGTGCAAACGTGAAACAACCATAGGATCTGATGGAAGGAACCACTGAAAAACCTGTGGTGTGGGCAGAAGAAATGGACACGGTGCCTTTTGGCTGTAAGGCTTTCCTCCAAATAGCCAGGGATGCCAGTGGGAATGTGGGCAACCAGGGAGACTTAATGAAATCTAAGGCTGTCTATATTATACCAGATCCATTTGCTCAAGAGACAAGAAACCAGCCCTAGAACTTCTGAATAGCTTAAATTAATTTGATTCAAATACTTGTGGAAATTATTTATGCAGTACGTACGATATTAAAAATGTAATTCCTGTCAGGACTGTACTCCAAATATTGTTCTGTTCTGTTAAATTCTTCAAAACCAGTGTGATTTTTGTCCCCTCTTCCAAATGTGTCTATAATATTTATGTCCAAAAATTGATTCAATTTGTAATATCTGTTAATTCCATTAATAGCATCAGCTTATAGGCAGCAATAAATAAAATCTATGACAAATTTTTCCAAGATTTACCTGGCATTTTGAAATAAATTGTTTCATTTCTTATATAGCTTTGTAGAAATTTCTGAACTTAAAAAGAAGTCAACTAGCCTTATTATATCCTGACATTACATACTGCCACATCACTTAGGATGTGCAATGTCAATCAGTTAACTACACTTTGCCAGCCTTTCTGCTACATGAAAATGCACTGCAAAACCAACACCATCCTATTTGAATCTCTACAACCCTCAAACAATTACACTGCAGTGTTGACACTGAAAGCATCATTTTGCTCGAATCCTTGGCAGGAATAAACTTCAGAAGATGATTATTAGATTTTTCAGCTGGCTGCATAATCTATATTCACAACTTTATTAATCGTGTAGTCCACTTAACTGTATATCGATTGTGAGTTCTACATCTACCTGCCTGTGGACAAATCAACATCTATAAACTGCCCTTTTGGGTGAAATCCTGTCAGCGGTGAAAGGGTTAACACTGTGGGCATTTAAGTGGTCATAATTAACAGTCCATTAAGATGAATGGAGAAAGTTCGCACTTAGCGATGCTATTGTTTAATTCTGTCTGTTTACAGACTCAAGAGGACAACAGCGCGGGGCTTGACATTGCCCAGGGTTTGCACTAGGGCAGTTAGGAATCGCATTTTTAAATAAATTATAACCTTAGATTAAAAAAAAACAAAAAAAGCGAAAATCCTTTGGGAAACACATTTCCTGCTTTGGGGGGTTTCTGTTGTCCCAATTCACGCCCTTGAATAAGTGGGTTTGATACTAACTACCATTTTGCTTTCCACTGAACCAATCCACCAAAACAAAGCCCTCACTATACTTAATCCCCTCCCCGTTTCACAATGATTTATATAAGCGATGGATTTTGTAGCCGGTTATTAATAGGGATGCGGGAGGAACTCAGCTCTGCTAACCTGGAACGGTTCTCCTGGTTCTGACGGATGGCTGCTCTTTTGCAGGGTTTGACATTTGATATAAAATCCCACTATTAATATCATCAATGTTGAGCATTAAAAACATGAAACAGGACACAAACCCAACATATCAGCCTAGAAAATCTCTACTGTAAAAAAACTTGGTTTCATTTGCCTTTTGCACCCTGAAGATTTTACAAAAAATCATTTTTCAACCTTTTCTCCGGTGAAGTTGGAAATTTATTTTGTTAAAAGGAAGCTGAATTTTTCATGTAATCTGTTCATTCCGAGCTTGGAAGCTTTAAAAAAAATAAGTAACAAGACCACAGCTATACCAAGACTCGCAACAAAATCCTGGGTGTTGCTAACACTACACTGCTGAAGAATGCAGCTCAGCTTTCGCAGCAAGTCTGAAGTCAGAGCTCCCAGGAGAGCTGGGATGGGCCCAGGTGGAGAATTCACTATTTGAACGAAAAACTTTTTAGCCAAAGTGCAGTAGTGAAACTGCTAGAGAAGCCTATCATTTCGAAGTAATACGTAGTTCTTTTTAAAAGGTCTCCATTTTATTGGTACAATTTTTTCCTTGTAAACGATTGTGAGTGTAATTAATTATAGGCAATAAATTGTAAGTGCGTTTCATAGCTCCTGTATGTCTAGCTAAATGACAGCACTCAGAAATGCAGTCATTAAACATACTGAAGAGCAATAGAATAAGTAGTTATTTCCACTAGATTTTATTCTTTATTTTGGTATCAGAGTGCCTGAAAAAAATATGACAAATATCAACATTTCTATGAAAATGTTTTCATTACTCATGTCAACGTAAATTAGTGACAAATTTTTGCAGACACGGTTTTGGTCTTAAGGACAGGGATGCTTGCTGAAAGATAACCTCGAAATACAGTTATAGAATTATGTTACCTGTTCTTGTTAGAAATAACATATTCATGAATGAATATGGTTTTGCATGCCGTCTACAGTTTGGCTTTCTAGTGCCTTCAAATGTAACTTTGAAATTTAAAAATACAATGCTTTTTTAAAAATTAATGTTGATGTTTTGGTAAGAACACTCGATGTTAATTTTAGCAAGTATGTGCTTGGTTAAATTTGAATTAGGCCATAATACCTTACACTTATTAGCATTAAAAATGCACCTGAAAGAGCCAGAATGGTTCCTGGAGATACTTTGTAGAAAATTTCCTTTTATTATGTTTTCCTGGCAAATCAGATTTATAGAAAGGTAAATTGCATAATTTTAAAATAAAGTATTTGAAATTATTTCAGCAACTTGAATCCTACATGTCTCTGCTTAATACAAATTGTTAATATTTTGAAAACATTGAAACTGAAAACAGCAGTCTGAATTAACAGGAAGAAGTACTTTATGCTGTATGCCCCCAGTAAAACTGTGAGTAAAATTTTTAAATGTAATAATTGATTTCATTTATTAAAAATAGAATAGAAAAAAACATAGGAGAGAGCCTCGGGGACTAAAGCTGTGTTTGAAGAATGGTAGAATTCTTACTCTTTAAACAGGAATTAAAAGAGTTAAAATAAGTTTTAGCATCCTTCTTTATCTCCTTGAGCCACTATCTTTATCGGACTAAACAAGTGAACTCCAGCAGATGATAATTAAAGATGGACTGGAATTTTTACTGAAGACATGAAGCCTATTGAATTCATGGCTCGTGGTTCACAGATGAGCTGCAGCTCCTGAGCACACCTCTGCTGACTTCACTGCTCCTGAAAGCTTTTTAGGTGCTTTAAGAAAGGCTTCATGCAGGAACAAGCCCCTTTAGATCAGTGTGACAATTAGGGCGTTCTCCTGGGAAGCTGGTTTGAATCCCCTGAGGCTGGGAGTAGGATCTGAGCTCATCTCTTTTACTTTCTGGTGGTATTGCTGCAGCTGGAGTCTGGCAAAAAAATGAGGAACTCCGAAAATGTTAGGGTTATTCCATGAGGGGCATCTCATCCCAGTTTTTGAATGGAAATAGCTGTTGCTGCTGTATTTTATGCTGAATTCAGTGCAGCTGAGACCCGGCAGCAACGTGCCTGCTAGAGCAAACTCAAGGTTGAGGCACACAACAGTCCTCGGTTGTTCAGTTGCCATCTCCAGGCGGCAGCGGTTCCGGGCAGTCACAGAACAAGAAGTCGGGATACCGGGATTTCCTCGTTAAAAGGTAGTCAGCTGCCTCCTTTCAGGTTCCTGTGAAGCGAGGAGAGGGTTTGGGAGGTCCATGCTTGAAAGGAGGCAGTGGTGTCCTCCCAGGCCTTCATTCGGAGCCTGTGGATGCTGTCCACTTTCCAAAAGCTTCACAGCTGCGTCTTTCGAGTTTGCGTGAGCTGTGGCAGGACCACAGGGTGTTTCTCCTTCCGTATGTGATAGCTGAAGCGAAGAGGCGATTGATCTTGATTATTCAGTCTGTTGTGTAGGTGGGTAGGCGTGTAAGGGAGCTTACCTGTCTTTGCCTGTGTGGTATTTATTTTTTAAGATTTGTGTTTCCCAGTCTACTGGTTTCAGTAATAATCTTTGTGTAGGGGCATCTTGTCAGCAGCTTGAGGGCTGAATGCAATGTGAATACTTTTTTTTTCCTCTTAAAAAAAAGGCATATTTTACCTTTCCTTTTACCTGATACTCCATTCTCTGGTGATTCTTGATTTGTATCACTGCTTTAATTCATCTCTAATTGCAATCGCTGCCAGTTTCAGCGACAAGCTCTATACGCTTTTTCCTTCTCCTTGATTTGTACAGTAACTGACCACAAATCCTTTGCCTTCCCCAGAACATAAGACATTGGTTTCCACAGATTAGGAGCTGACTGGTTGCAGGATGCTCAGTAAATGTTCTTCCTAAGAAGTAAAACTGTGCTTTAAATGTAAAAGTAAAACACCAGCCTTTAAATGATGATGTCAAAATGTCAGAGAGGAAAGTGGCCATATGTGAGGTCATGAGGCCCGCTGATGCGTAAAGCAACCAGCCTTGAAAGTCAACTGCGGACGGGAGATGGACAACTTCTTGCGCCAGGATCATACCACACAGGAAGGGCACCTGGGGAAGCAGCGCTTCTCCTGGAGATCGTGGGCACTGAACTGGCAGGCATGCTGTGGGTTGTCCTTGTAGGAAGGAGAGAAATAATGTATGTTAAATGCCCACTGGCTTTTCTTTTAACTTTTATTACTAGGTAAAAAGGGTTGCAGTCAGATTCCAGTGACTAGTCAAATCTAACTTTACAATTTAAAACAACGGGATTTTACTAAATTCCTTGGGTAACTATTCTACAAGCCTTTAAACACAGTGCCTAAATTCAAGAAAAAACTAGTATGAGTTCTGGTGAATTTTGGAACACATTCAAAAAGTGAATATTTATGAGAATGGCATAATATATTTATTCTGGATACAAGACCTGCAGATTTCCTTCATGTGTTTTTTTTTTTTAAACTCAGGTTTAACTTCCCTCCTTACGACTCTCTCATGTCTAGCCCTGCACACTTCTTCAAATGAGAGGAAGAAGGAGAATTTGCGAGTCTCATCCTTGTATTGGACTCGAACTTACTTACGCTGGAGAGTTATGCATATATGGCAACAGGGTCGTGGATCTTGGTTTATATCAAGATTGCGGTGAGGTTTTTGAGTGCTGTGGATTTTGTATATACGTTGCTGTATATGCAGTTAGACTTACTCAACTTGATGCGATCGTATCAAGCTAATACTTCCAGTCTATTAGTCTGTGGTGCAGGTTTGCCTAAAAGAGACAGGGTGTTTTTTGCAGAACACAGACAACAACCATTGAAAAACCAAGTGGCTGTTAGGGTACGCTATTGAAGAAAGAAAACTGCTAGAACGCAACAGTGCTTTCAGAGAGTAGGCATTTTCTCCAATGTGTGTAATGACTGACAAGTGATCTCTGCTCCCGAGTGCTTGGATGTGGTCTGGGAAATCTCATCCTGGTGGTTGTTACAGGCAGGACTGTACGGATTGCGCTTTGGCCTCTGAGCCAGCCTCTCGTTGGCATCTGTGCTCTAAGCATGGTCTTCCACCAGCAGCAGCAGATGATGCCAAATGATACCGATATAATTTTCAAGAAATTGCAGAGTGTTTTGTTAAGAATTATAATCATATTTAATAACAATTTGAAGGTACTGGAGACTAGCATGTTTTCTGTATGTCAGACATGAAATTTCCAACTGTTCGCTTTACTGTGTGCTACCTAGGAAAGCTTTTCTGAAAGTCAGTTTAAGGCACTGAGATAACTCTAATGCATAAATGGGTTTTGCTAGTATCTATTGTAGTAATAAATGAATCACTGCTCGCTTTCAAGACCAGGCAGACAGTTAACTTGGGGTTCACGTGATGGTTTTTCATTTTACTGGACATAAATTCACATCTCACAGGTTGATATAGGGTGGGTTTAAACACTCATTTTAGGTAAAACAGCCATTATTTTCTGCAAAGGACAGCCCATAGCTCCTGTAGCACCTGCTGTCTGTCTCTGGGACATACCAGCACGTTATGCAGTTGGTTACCTCTGGTTTTGTAGTATGAATTCATTCGTTCAGGGCTAGCGCTGAGTGTAGGTGCCTGCAGCTGCCAAGGATGTCTGTGATCCCAGCTGTTCTTCAAGGTGCAGTGGTGTTTCTGCGAGAGGATAGCTTCAACTTTGCGGCATATCTAGTTTGTGTAACTTTTGGATTTGTAGAGTGTAACCATGTGTGAGAGAAAGGCCATTTGAAATATCTGGCAACTGTAAAAGTATCACCTGCTCTGCGAGATTTACTGATGGGGTATTTGGATCTCTTCCTAAAACTCCTGGTATGGAAATTTTTGAGGAATTGATGCCATACTATTTACTAGCTGTATGATTTGGCATGGGGTTCTCTGCTGGCGGTGCCACGGGACTGGTCCCACCTTGAAATGTTGTGATCCACGTTAGGCCTCGGTATTTGAAAATTGTTTGTCTTTACTGGCAGATGCTGGAGGAAGATCAGAGCTGCAATTAACCTATTTACAGTTAAAGCTTACGCATGACTTAGAAAAAAACCCTAAACTTTAAACCAAAAAAGATTTAAAAGTTATAGAACAAATGACTGAGTAGAGCAAATCTGTGTTTAATTAACTATAAAAATGGTTGCAAATGTTTTCAAAAACTTTTAACATTATGGGTTGGGAAGTTGCTATTTTGGAAGCTCTCAGCAAGTGGCACAGCTCTCCGGGGAGTATGTGGGTGGTGGAAATGCTGCGCTGGCGTGGGTGATGGAGCCAGGTCCCCCCCAGGAACGACGATGCCTCTACCAGGAAGCAGCTGAGTCCGGGACTGTGCCTGGTGCTTGCCTGCACAGAGGAGTCCAGCTCGATGGACGTGCGCGTGTTTTTAGCTTCTATTGCCACTTCTGCTGCTGAGAAAATTCAAATCATTTGGCGTTTCCTCAGAGACACTTCCTCGTGCAGTTGCCTTGGGGCCCAAAATAGCATTACTGACCTCAACGTGGACCATCCCTCCTGCACATCATTTGACCATTAGCCTAAGGGGATTGTCTCATACAAATAAGTTAGCTGCCTTCCTGGGGCGCCCAGTATGCGTGGAGATCAGAAGAAAGCGGAGAAGGGTGAGGTGTCTGAGGAAAGCCCGTGCTATCAAATGTTGCAACTGCAGATGTCTGGCAAAATCTTTTCCAAGGGGCTGGAACAAGGGGCTAGTTTTAAGAATTGATCTCCAGTTATTAGCTGCGACTGAAAGGGATGACATAGGAAAAGAAAAAGTGTTGGTATTTCCAGAGCAGGCAGTATTTCCGATTATATTAGTTTATTATAGAGAAGCATCCAAAACTCTCAGCCTCCTCAACGCCTAAATAGCAGAGATTGGCATATAATGAGTAGAAATACGGTGTATATTTGCCAATTTAGGCTGCAAATCTAACTTCTGATCCTTTCCAACATATCACTGGCCAATATAAAAAATGTTTTTGTGGCAGAAGCCTATGAGAACTGAGGTGTTTCTTGGGGAGTAATAGGAGTTGAATGTTTAAAAAATTTTGTGTTTACTATCTGGGGAGCATTATTAAGAAGTATTTAATTTCTTTCAAAAAATTCAGCCCTTATATAGAATAAAGTAAACCCTGCAAAAAACCCCAAACAGGCTTTGAAAACTATTTTAATAATGAAGCTGAACAAATAAGTTAAAAAATATTCAGTGTATGTAAATAATATAATAACCGTGATCTCAGCTCACAAAAGTAATAAAGTTTTCAATTTCTTTAACTAATATCTCTATATTTTAATTATTATCTGATGGATTAGAACATTTGATACTTGTCTTGAGTAGCTCTTGGTCATTGTTGTAGTAGCAATAATAAACTCTGTTCCAGTTGTGTGGTCAGATGAGCATACAGGCATATCATGGGAGATTTTTACATGTGTAGATTTAAAATCTTTCTCACATACGAATGTTTGTACATTATTTGTTGAGCACTACTCAGTTGCAAACGCAACTATCACACTTTGCTTCTCAGCAGGCTTTTCTTAGCAGTCCTGATTAATGCTTTTCCTCATCCATTTTCACTGGGGATAAGTCGATGTCTCATTGAGTCTCGGTGATCTTGACAGCCCTGCTACTGAGAGCTGGCAAAGCTATTCTACCTGTCGTTAGCACATGTCAGGGAACTCACTTCTTGCAGCTATGATGATCTTCCAGCAGATACCATTTTTCATTATGGAGGTGACCATGTAACTTTTTAAAACTATCAGTTTATGCTGAACCCTTAAGCCCAGCGTGCAAACACTGGGGGGAAGATGCTGCTCTGCAGGCACTGCTGCTGCTCACAGCTCTGCCATCTGTCCTGAGGTACGTGGATGAAACCCCAATAAACACAGCATGTGAGTACCTCACAGTTGTTGTCATTTTTCACAGCCTTCTGGTGAGGTAGCAAAGTTATTTCAGTTTTACAAGTGCCAACAGAGGTACCGAGTCACTGCAGTCCAAATCCTCAAAGAGATTTAGATAACTAGTTTCCACATAGGCATAAATAGGAACCTGAATCCTGGTCTGTCACGTCCCACACAGGCTGCCAAAACACCGGTCCAAACCCAGCTGTAAGCGATGACACAGTCACACGCCCAAAGCTTTGATGGGACACTACAAACCCTCCCTGCTAACCTGGAGGGAACCGGCACATGAGATGTCCTCGGCAGGGAAGGACAGTGGGGCTGCTGCTTGGCTGGTGCCGGCCCCAGTTAGACATCGCCTGTCTGATGCAGGTTCTGCAGATCCTTCCCACCAGCACGAGCTTCATTTTTTTTTCTTTGTAAAAGGAGGAAAATATTTGTTTCAGGGCGTAAGACTTAAGTCTCAAAGGCTACATGGGTGTTGTTAGGATCTGGTAATTTTACTGTTATGGAATAAGCTGCTGATGGGGGAAATTTCCTTGTAATGCTAGGAGTTGCAGTTCAGAAAACTTTCACTGGCCTAACAAAGTAGAAACATTTACAGGCCTCATCAGGAGTAAGTAATAACTTTAATGGAGCAGTTAATTAGTTCTGCTCTTTTCAGACTGGATCATTAGAATTTAATGAGAATTAATAATTTCATAAAGCATGGAAATATATTGCCCCAAGCAAAATACGGTAGCACACATTTCACAAATAGCTATTTTAAATGAATGCGGTGACATTTTCTCATATTGTTGGATGATCTATAATATTTTTATGTAGCAACTCTAGGTAAAGTATGTATTTGGCTCACATTACGAAGTGTGTTACTGTTTTAAGATAAAAAGTTCCCTTTGTTTGTGAATAGGAATATAAACCTAAATACAGCGATGTAAATGTGATTCTTTATCACTGTTGGCTTTTTTCTTGAGCATTGTAAAGGCAAAGCTACTGACCACCTAGAAGCATCATTGAAAAGCAGCAGAATTCCTTTGCCATGTCCTATAATATTCTTGTGTCAGATCTATCACGCTACTTATCTGAGTAAAACAAGCACATTACCTGTGTGAGAATAAGATGTCATAAAAGAAGGACAGAAAATATTTATCAAACAAATATATTTGGAGCTATTTTAGTTTGACATCATCTGACAACATAATAAGTAATGTAGCAAGCAACACACAACATTTCATTTAAGGGGATTTTTTTTTTTTTAGTCTAGCACTTTATGTAAATGGTTATCTACAGGTTTTGTGTCTAAATTATTGTTCATGGCATAAAGGGAAACCATTTCTCATTTCCAGATTCTGGGCTGGTTTAAATTGGCCTGACTTCCACTGACCTTCATGAGGTTGCACCGATGTGCGTGAGTGGAGGATGGGGCCCAAACACTTTAATGAAGGCTTTGGAAGCCCTAGGAGAGAGGGGAGGAAATTCCTTCTGGTTCAAGTGTCCAAAGCTATTGTATATGCTATAACTGGTGATGACTCTTCTTCACAGAGTTTTTCCTTTGGTGCTTGAATATATAGATGACATTCTTTATTGTATTCATTGCAAATTAAAATAGTTGATCAATAAAACTGAAAATTTGGTGGATATTATGAACTGGCTTTCTGCATGTGGCCTGGATTTGCAGGCTAAACAAACACAGCATAAAATGGAGGCAGCCAAAAAAAAGTGTTGATCCTGACCCCTCATCCCTGTAGTGTGATGCAACATATGTAAGTCTAACACAGTTAAATCCGTATAAAGCTGGTGCAGTGGGGCAGAGATTCAGACTTGCATAGTTTCTAATCTTATTCCTGAAAGATTTATAGCCTGGATTAAACATGTCAGAGTGAGTAAGGGCCAAAGTAGAGCTCCCCTGTCACTAGGGCTAGGCTGTGGTTCCCTGTCATCATTAGAACACTGTTTGTGGGGAGATCTGAATTCCTCTTGCTGTAGCAATACCTAGCCAAAGCACAGAAAGATCAAACTATTCAGCTTTTCATGATGGTCCAACCCATTTCATTTTTCAAAACTGCAGAGCAGTAAAATGAACGCTTCTGACTCGCTGGCTCTTCTGAGCAAAAAAATAGCAAGAGAAAACCCTGGCTCAAACTTCAAATACATAATACATCTCCCATCACAGATGTGAAAGAAAATTACCCACCAGATATTTTTTCAGTAGACCTTTGTATTTAAAATGAAAAATGTGATCTTTAAAGATTTTCAACAGTCAGATGAAAAACTGCTAGCTCTCTATATATTAAAAACATATATATATAGGTTGAAAACTCTGCAGGAGATGAATAATTGGAGTGAGTGTTCCAAGTATTGGCCATCCAAATATGCAACAAACTGTATTCTACTTTTTTTTATTAACTTCTATAGGATTTAAGACTAAAAGATATTTTTTCTCAGCTTCTTTTTCGTCTTCCAAGCATGATGCTTTCTGTTACTATAATGATTGTTATATACTGCAGCAGCACTGAGACACTAGTGATTGGAAAGCGAGAGCTACTGTTTTCATATAACAAAAAGACAATCTCTTCCAGAAAGCTGGCAAATACAAGAATATAGGAGAGGGGACAGGTGGGCACAACAGAGCAGGGAAGACGTCGTAACGGCACCGCTTATTGTATGTGCAACTGTGAAGGGTGAGATTTGACCACTACTTGGTAATCGTTGAGTGGGGAGTTGAACAGACACACGACATGGCAGCATTTTAAAATCCTCGGGGCCTGATGCTAGCTGTGGTACCTGCAAGCAGCACTGGGAGCAAGAGACCTGCCCGGTCTTCCTGCTGCTTTCTCTTCTCTGCTGGATCATGTGCTGGAGGTGGCCCAGGTTCAGCCATGATGGCCATTTTCTGTTCCTGTTCTGCAAGAATTTTCCCTTGGTCTCCCTAAGCAAGTGGGAAGGTTAAGGAAGAAGGAGGGCTCACGTCTGGTACCTCAGTTACTTTATTTCTACCTGCTTAGGAGGGGTTGGTGCCATGAAATGACGGTGCATTCCCCGTGGGAGGACAAGCGGTGGAAAACTCTCCGTGCCTGCTGCCTGCCCCGGCACATGCAGGTAGCAGGCAGCCTTACACTGCTCCTCCTGGCTGGCCCTGCTAAGGAGACTGCTGGGGTTTTCCTCTTGAAGCCCGCCTTACACTGGTCTCCATCTTCACAGGGGTCAGGGCCGTGAGGAACAATTGTTTTTCACTCATAATGGGTCTTTCCTCACAATAATGTGTGAAGAAAGCGAATGGAGATAATGGCTCTTCTTTCTGGTCTAACCCAGACCTTTTATGTTATTTTAATGTTGGTTTAGGTTTTAATTAGAGAGCAATCGGCATCAGCAGTTGTACACTTGATCATATATCATATGATCTAAAACCTAGCTACTTGATCCCATAAGATCATTAGTATCTTATTGCTGTATTTTATTAAATATTGATGCCAAAGTTTTCTTTTCAGCATTGGCAAATTCTTTTAGTCAATTAACAATAAAATAAAAATCTTTCAGTTTGGTGAGAGCTACTGTAATCATATTTACTTTGCAGTTTATTACCATATGTTTAAAATGTTTGTATGTTTGTATTACACCTAAAAACATCATTAAAAGAACATTAAATCTGCAAAGTGTAGTATTCTGAAATTAGGAAATGATGGAAGTATGTTTTCCTGTGCAACTTTAAAAACTCTTTAGGGAAATCAGAACTGCATGTTAGCTGCCTGGACTCTGTATACAGGGCGTGAGGCAAGGCAGGCGCCTCCAGATGGGATATAAACAAACCCATGCGATGGCCTGGGAGCCACCTACACTCATAAATTGGGAGTGTGAGAGACAGGGCTCCATCTGAAATTTGAGCTCTCTCCAGAACCGAGGCACCTGACTGCGGTCAGGAAGGAGCTTCCTTCGCGTGTGTGGGACCTGCAGCCTGCAATAAGCAGCTGTGCTGATTTACGCTCCTTTCCCCAGGGGAGAGGGACATCGGGAGAGTCTCTGAGAGAAAGGCCTATTAATGGGGGAAACTCCACAGTTCCGTTCCGCAGTGAAATTTCTATTTACTTCAGGGAGAGTGTAACATCCTGGCTGCTACGAGGCTGCTTATGCATTGTGCATACGATTGTAACTGGATAAATGTAGGAATTGTTGGAGGAGTAGCCGCTGGACTCGAGGGCTCCCTGTCTCAGGCATTACCTCCACTGCTAGGTATGGAGATGCGCTCTTGGCCACTTTCTGTGGCTCAGTGGATCTTCACTTCTTTGCTGAACTTCAGCACACCTTCAAAATGATGGGGTTAAATGCCCCCAAACAGATTTGCCCTGTAGATGGGAGCTAAGGGCATTTGAACTCTCTTCAGTCTATGGAGAAGTAGCCTAAATCTGCTGTTCCTGCGCAAGTCCTCAATCAGGAAACGATTTTATAGAAGGGATTACTGCTGCTAACTTCAGGGGCATCATAAAACCAGTGATCTGTGCTCCATCTCTGGAAAGAGAGGCTGGAGGTACGAGAGACAGTTTCAGGCTGTGCATCCCAAATGGATACAAGTATTCACTGCAGCCCCAAGGGAAGCGAGCAGCCACCACAAGCAGTGAGATTGAAGAACTGCTCGTGTCCTCAGTGTACTTCTCTAGCAGAGGGCTAAGGACTGTTTGCTTTTAAACGAAATTCTTTTATACGTTTCAAGAGAGGCTTGGAAAGCAGGCACAAGGCACACAAACCCAGCTCTGATTTGACCTTCACTGTTCTCCCTTTCTTTTTGTTCAGGAGGATCTTCAAATTTGTATATTCTGAAGGTTTTGCACGGTCTCATTCTGGATCCAAGTTTGAACTCTGGGGCTACCATTCATGTCAGCACAAGAAAAACTTCACAGCGAGCAAAGTTCCTGCTGCTCCACCCCACATAGCTACACTGGTAGCTTTTCCCCTTGCAATGGGTTGCTTGGAAAACCTTTGCCTGGTGTCCTGGCTAGAAGCTATTGGACCTGACTAAAGTTTGTGGGGCTGGGAGCTATTTAAATAATAGAGGATTTGGGCACCACTTTAAAATGCTGTTTTCATGAGTACATAAATCCCATTTAGCAGTATTTTTGTCAAACTTCTACTTTATGTGATGTTCCCTATGTGATGGTATATGATACAACCCTAAAATTTATACTTCAGTGTGTTTCAACCTCAACTTCTGGCTGAGTTCTTCAGCTGGTGTGGATTCATGTAGCTCCTTTGGCTTTAGAGGAGATATGATGATTTACACCAGATAAAGAGAGGATCCCTCTTTCTAATGTAATTTCCTTGGGTTTTTTTAATGTGGTATTTTTCTGTCACTTCATTTTTCATTCTTTTACCAAGAATCTTAAATGTTTTCCTGTAAACATTAAAAATCCACTTGTGTCTTTGGCATCAAATATAACAATAGGACTTGGGTTTACATCTCTCCATGGTACAATATAGAGGCATTGCCAAAAGCTATCCACTATCATTACAAACATGGGAATGGAAGACATATATAAACATAGAAGTGTAACCTCTTTCTCCAATAAGAGTTTATAATAGCAACAGTGAACTTGACCCAGTGCATTTCCTGTAGGGATAAGGTGACCTGCAGGGGTTAATGGCCCGTGGCTTTGCCTTGGGCTATCATCTCACCCAGCCAGTGATTAATCCTGGAGAAATGCCCTTTGCTCCCATCATTATCCCTTAAATGGAGCCTTTAGAATTCAAAATGATTTTGGAATGGAATTTACCACTGCCCTGCACTCCATTCATTGCAAGGAACTTTACTGTAACTGCATGTCACACTTGCATAAATAACCTTCAGAGTGAAAAAAAAAAAAAAAGGAAAGAGGAAAGGACTGGCCCAGAGAAAGGGAACAAAACTCCAGTGCAGGCTACCACTGCCGGTAATATTCCAACAACAGGGTGATGCAATACCAGGAGGATACAACTGCTGCAGCGAGTGGAGGTAATCAGAAAGTCCTAAAATATTTGCTGTATGTAAGAATTTTCCTGTGCAAGCATTAACCGTAGCATATTTTCAGGCAGCAATGTATTATGTTTTTGTTTGTTTACTTAGCTGGTTCCCAGACATATTCTTGAGAAACTAGGTTCTCTTCATAATCTTAGGACAGCAAGGTCCCTGCACTGGAAGCGCGTGGTCTGAAGAGCTGTCTAAGGAACCGGCTTATTCCCTTGGACAGGCGGAGTGCAGAAAAGACTGCGAGTGCCAAGGTAGCGTTCTGCATCAAAACCAGAAAGCTTCAGCTCATCTGCTGCACTCTCCTGCAGGTCTATCGCCTGCAGATTGTTTCTGCTAGCATAGCAGCTCAGGTACTTGTAGAGCATATTGCTTATATTTTATTCCTGAGAAGGCAGTAAAATCTGTTGTAGTACAGCAATCTGCACCCTCAGTTCTATACTCCCCTCTTACACCATCTGATGTAGGTTTCATACCTGGCTATATTAAGATAAACATGCCTAGTACACAAGGCTGTAGAAGCAATTAAATTTACTTACTGGTTTTTATCTTTTAATAGACACAAGTTTTCTCGTACGCTATTTCAATCAAGGAATGTTCCAAATAGGAAGTTATTCAAGATCAGTGCTGGACAACCAGTTTAACATAACTCTACCATTAATACACTGGTGGCTAAAGTCTGCAATGCCATCCTTGCAGGCTCTCATGTTATCTGCACTGATCACACCCCCACCTCATCAGGAAACATATTCCTAGTGTATTCAGAGTCATTTTGCATGTGGAACCATGTCATCTGTTGCATGTGGCGAGTCTGGTGGTAGTGGTCACCCAGTGTGTGGTTGCATTTTGATCCTAGTCAGGGCCATTTTTATTCAGTAGCATCTTGCGTACTATTTTTTTACTTTATCATGGATGAACCTCAGGCAAGGCAACCTATAGTGCCTGCAAAGTGGAAATGTTCTCCAGCTGGTTCAGGGTTATCAAAGACGGAGTATGGGATGCTCTTCAATAAGCTGCTCACTATTCCTCTGGTGTGTAAACAGCATGCAGCAGAGTGAAGCAGGCCTGTCCAGCTCTGGAAGCCAGCCCTGGGTCCTGAACACACTACCTCTGTGGTGCTTGTCTGCCAGAAGCTGCTGACTGCAATATAGAGCATCTCATAAGCAGAGATGGTCATGGTCTTCTCTTTTACTCTTCCAATGAGTGAACCCAAATCAAGACACTCACAGAAACTGGGCTTCCACACTGTGCCAGCGTTCCCTTCAGGTGGTGCCAGGAGTGGTTTCTGATAAGTATGGGTGATGGTGTGGCCCTTCTCTGAATCCTTATCTTGCTTGCTTACCGTCGAGCCTGAGATGGAGCCTGGTCTCCGGGCTGTGTGGAGCCCTGGTCTCAAATGCATGAACGAGAACTTGGTGGATCTGTGGCTGAAGGTACAGTGCAGGTCAGCATAGGAGGAACATATATGCTGAACAGCTTTAACGTTTGAAGCCTAGACCTTTATGTACTTTGGTTTTAATTTTTAAAATTTACTCCAGCTCCTCTCCTTCTGCAGTAGCCAGAAAGAGCCATGCTGCTATGCTATGGCTTTCTGTTGCTGCTGGGCCACGTGGCAGCAGCGCCCAGAGAGAAGTGCAGTTCCTAGGTTTGGGGACCAGGACTCTGTGGTCGTTTGCTGTCTAAGCTCCTGCTCTGCACTGTGCCAGTCAGACCTGACATAAGGGCAGATAATCCGAATGTGGTTCTTTGGCTTGCTAGCCTTCTTTCCTGATAACAATCTCAATAACCTCTCTTGTATCTCACCCTCCATTCATGGTGTCTCAATTACATTCTAAAGTGGCTGGAGGATGTGTCACACTGTGCAAAGATGGAAGACCTCTTGGGATACTGTTGGAGAGCTGTATCAACCAGAGGGTGCAATGTGGACCCTGGAGCTACCTCTATCTGACCCTCATGTTTTGAAATATTTTCCCCGTGCTTTCCTTAAATTTTCTTCATATTCCAAAATCAAGCTAAAGCCCTGAATATATTTTTGTAACCTGCCTATTAAGTCAGCATTTATTGTAGATAAAGATTTACCATTAATCATTTAAAATAACATGGAAAAGGAAAAAAAGTGAGGACTGTATTTTTTTTTCCATGATGCCTGAAAAAGGCATTAACTGTGTTTATGATATTTGGGTTTTTTCCTGCTTATTTTTCATCAAGATTGCAAACATTATAAAATGATGTTGTTTAATTATCAATACTTATGTAACTACAATGCCTATAAGATTTTTGGGAGAAGTCTTTGCTTCTTTTTTAAGAGAAAGCTGCTAATCAACAGAAGAGATTCCTAGTACATTCTTTAGCAAAACCAAGTATCAGAATAGATGCTTCATATATGCATAAACGTGTGTGTATGAAAAGAGGAGTGCATGCCTTTACTATTGGGAATCATTTCAGTTCTGGAAATCAGAAGGAAAAAAGCTTACAGTTAAATTTTTTAAGTGTTGCAGCTGTTAGGAAAAAAGGAATTTTGTCTGAAAATGAGAGTTCTTACTCTGTTTTACTGGGAAGGAGAAGCAGTAATAAATTGTATCATGTTTACAAGCACCTGTACAAAGTGTTGCCATATGTGTAAAACCTCCAAGCACGCAGGGCCAGTACCGTAGTTGGGACATCCATCCTCCACCCTGTTTTGTTGGAGGAAGGAAGTGTCTTGTCCCCACCTTGGGACTGGGAGAGGCAGTCTGGGGTGGGACCGGTGCTACTGCCATCACTGTAATCCGGGATTATCAAAACTGGACTTATGTCATGCTGTTTACTTAAAGACAATGAAATTCCTAGCTGGTTTCATGTCTTTTTCTGCTATAATAGCAACTACAAGAAAATGTTTAAAACAAGCATATGCCTGAAAATAATCATTGCAAATTCTGTTAAATTCTCCCAACTTTTTCATTTTACCATCAGCTTCAGAGGAATGTTTCATTGTGTGTGTGTAAGGAATCAGGCGCCATGGAACCTAAAACCCGAACGAGACCTCTACATTTTATTAGGGTATAAATAATGGTAATAATTTGATGGGGCTCCTTGAATAACACAGCAACAGAATGGGGTTTGGTTTACAGCATCGTACCTTGCCTTGTCTGTAGGGCTAGTGTTGCAGATTGCTTTCCCACAGATTGGATCCTGCCAGTTAGAAGGTCATAAATGCCCAACTTAATCACTGGCTATGTCTAAAAAACCCAATTTAATCCCTATATAGGGCACCATGTACTTCTCAAAATGCAACTTAACTTAAAAAAGTGAAAATATGTTCCTATTAAGGTGTAGTTGAGGCTGTCATTTGATAATACAGGGGCTGGGACAGAGAGCTGGTCTCAAGCATGTTAATCTGTAAAGGGAGCAAAGCCGGTGGTTGGTTCCACAACACCCCTCTGCTGAGACACTGGAGGGTCCAGGACTTGTCTAAAATTCATTTTCTTCTATAAAATAATTATCTTTTATTTAAAACAAGGGGAGAGAAAAGAGATAAGTTCTTAAAACTTGAAAACAGAAACTTTTGTAACACAATTATTTTTTAAAACAAGGCATTGTTTCTAGCCAGCTCCATAGGTTGGAATTCATGAAACATACAGATGGTATGGCACCTGGATGGCTGTGGACTTCAAGCACCTACTCTGTCTCCTCTTGTCTCTGCTCACAAAGAACTCAAACACAAAATATTACTCAGGGGAATATAAAATGAAAAGCTTCATTGGTCTGAGTAATATTTTGCCCTTTCACTTCCAGCACTGTGGCTGATCATCATGACCTTTCCTTTTCTTAAGGGGAGGTATTAGGAGATGTGTTGCTTTTGCTAACACAACCAAATTGGTTGCTTTCTGAATCACCTGGTAGACATTTTCCAGTGGCAAAGCAATGTCTCTGTGCCCATTCCCTGGTAGAGAGGTCCTTAAGCACAATAGAAGGGGACAGGAACATACAGAGATCCCTTCAAAGTATCCACATAGCTAGTGACCATGTGTATTCCCCAGACAACTTTTTCAACAGAAGAAGAGCAAACAGCCTTCTGGAGGAATTCTTGTTTGCAGAGATTTGAGTGCAGCTGTCAAGTAAGGGTAGCGGAGCTAGTATCGTTCCACAGAGACTTGTGGCATCGTGGCCATGATGCAGCCATTTATCATCAGCCTCTGTCATTCCCAAACCGGGGCCTCTCACGTGATAACACAGAGCGCTGCTGCTCCTTTACTGACTTGGTCCCTGGTTAATCAGTTTGTTCAGGTTTTGAATGCTGTATTCAAGCATATTTTTAACAATGAAAAGCTCTCTGTGCTAAAAGAAAGGTCCTACGTATTTGAGTCACATTCTTTTCTTTCCAATCATTTCAGGTTTTGTGTCACTTGATTTGTACTAGCTGTGGCTCATTATGAGAAGTATTTGTCAGTGTGGACACTAAGGCACGCACAGCCCTACATGTGAAATGTAATTATGGGCAAGGGAATTTCCTGTCCATTCCCTTGAAATATTGTTGCTTAAAACTTGATAGAGTGAAGGTTTTGCAAATTGAAAGAGAGAACCATGAAGAAGGATAGACAGAGGAATAGACAGAGGGGTCCAGAGGTGTCTGATGTCTGGGGATTGAAGAAAAAAGCCAGATTCCCTTAGGAGCAGTGAATGACCTTGGAGCTACTGGAACAGAGAAAAAAGACGACACCCTGAAGGCGCAGAGGGGTACAGGATGGAGCCTGATGACAAACAGTGAGGGATGGGTCCTCGAATTGGACCGAGAGAGAAAAAAGGACTTGGAGGGGAGAAAGAAAGAAGGTTAGGGCTGGAGTGAGTCTTCTGGCCAAGGAAGCTTTAAATCAGAGATTGTAAGCACAGGATGCACATGCTGATATTACAGTGCAAGGTACTCTGAAAAGCTATGGGATAAAATTGGCATCATTTTTATTTCATAGATTTGCTCTGCCTCTTCCATCTCATTAGAAAGGTTTGAGCAAGTGCCAGCTGCATGGCAAAGGCTGAGCCCTGGTCACTAGTGCACAGCCTGACAGGAGAGAAGGACTTTGCCTCCTGTGAGTGAAGCCATTTGCTGGGAACCTCCCTGCACATGCAGTGATGCAGTTTATGTGTCTCTGCTTGAGAGGAGGTTTATACACAGTAGAGAAATCTTTCCTTACAGGTGGGCAAGTGATATCTTTGTTGTCACTCAGGAGTTTTGGTAGGCGGGGACTACATTAAGCATTTCCTAAGTATTCAGGGCCTCCGACTGCAGAATCCAATCACGCTACAGAACTTTGGTTCATCTTTTGAACTCTCATTTAAGAAAAAACCCAGTAGTTTGTAATCCCCTTTGCTCAATTTG